AAGCAGTTGCTGCATGCCAAGAGTAGCATGGTCGGACGAGGTCCGAGGCATCCTGGGCAAGGCCCTTCTGATGCGCGTGGAGTGATACGTTATCTACTGAACGAAGACTGCTGAAATAGCAGCTCTTCGTCGGATGTTTTTAATAACATCAAGGCTCCGATGGAGCAAGGAGTAGGGACACTGGACGACGCCGAATGTGTTCCCGCTGGTCTTGATGAGACGTAAGATCTCTACACTGAGGAGACAGCGATGCCGTGTGATTTCTGTAAGACGCCGGGTGTCGACTTGGACCCTGGGTCTGTCTACCGCATACGATAGCAAACGGCTATATACCCTTGTCAACGGTATGACGGGAGTGGGAGATGGCTATGGAATACTCCGATATCGAGGACATTGACCGTCTCGGTCCAGTGCCCGCGCCAATACCGCTTCTGCTTCCCGGTAGAAGACTCACCAAAGCTCCACCAAGAGACGTGCGCGTAGCGCCCAGAGTCTTCGACCTCCAATCAATCCATGGCTCATGGTGTTTCAATCGTGCCATACCAAGGATAAATTTATACCTTGCAGCCAAGTCTAAGACTAGACAGCGTTTCACGCTATCAAAGTCAAGTAAATTGACATTGAGGTCCACAGGGACCCTCGGAACAGTGACACAAGTTCCCATCGCTAAGCAAATAGTGACGGTGTCACTCAACAGTGCTTCCAGCGCTTCAGCACACAGCTGACTTCCTTCGATCGTAGAGCGTCGAGCATAATTCCCCGACGCGCCAGAATCGATAAGAAATTTTCATGGCATCTCAAAGTCTTTTATAGCCACTTTACGACCAAGCGCGGCTTGCACACACGGTCCGTGTTCAAGAGAACGCAGCTCTTCGAGGCTTGCCCTGTACCTCTTTAAGGCTCAACAGAACTCAGTCCTCCCCCAGCAGGGCGCCCCACACCTACTGAATAGTCGCGTTTCCCCGCGTCAAACCAGACTAATTAGAAGCGGGACGTCGGTTCAACGAACGTTTACGCGGCTTGCGCAAGGGACAACCCGTCCGAAGGTGACGGGTGTCTCCACAAACATAACACTGTCGGGTGTTCAAATGCTGCTCAGCAGCTCGGAGCTTTCTCTCCTCCTTCGCAGCATAGCTGAGCTCCATTGGCTCAGGCCCGCAGCTCTGATGGTGTGCATTCCAACCAGGTCGTGCCGACTTGAAGTTGACTTCGGCATTGAATACCACGTTCACCGCTATTTGATAGAAGACGGATGCACACAGAAGACTTCCATCCTGGCCACGCCAGTGCGGAGGCCCTCGATAAAGACGGTCACTGCGACCGCTTCGAAGAGAGGATCTGCTGCCATTCTGGCAATGATAGTGCGCAGTGCTTTGACAAAGTCCCCCAGTTCCTTCTTGGCCTGTCAAGCGGCATTGAAATGCGATCGCACGCGGTATGCCAGATTAAGCGGCGAGGACACTCGCAAAAACTGACGCTTTACCTCCCTCCTTCCAGGAAGGACGTAGCTTCAACCGAAGTGCCACACGTCAGTGCCCATGCTCGCCCGAGCTTGGGGATGTCTAGCGCCACGCGCTGTTGCTCGTTCCGGAGCATGGCGGATACCATAATAATCTCGGCCTCTCTCACCCAGAGAAGAAAACTCTCTCCATTCTTCCCCTCAAAGGCCTTAATGCTCACCATGAGCGGCCTGGGTCGGAAGGAATTATCCGTCGTCAACGGTGGCGTCATAGACGCAATTGACGCTGACAGCTTCTGCTGTATGTGCTCTAACAGAGCAATTCCATACTTTGAAAACGCTCTAGGTGCACGCTTATGGCCTCGGACCCTTGCGCAACGAGGTGCTCCATGCCCTCTGGGCGCAGCTAGGCCATCAGCTTATCAAGCCTGTCCTGCATGCCCTGTGGCAAATAGGAGTATAGCTCCATCTTCACAGAGGTTCAGACGTAGCGACTCAGGTGTAGATTGACTACGAATGTGACCAAGTGCAGCGGGGCTGCCGTAGCCCTTTGCTTAGAGGAAGCTAAGCTAAGCTCACCGACCTTACGTTCTTTACAAGAACTAGTGCAGCGGATCGCAATAAGCTACTTCTAGAACTGAAGCCTTACCAAGTCAAACGAACACTTCTGTTCAAAGACGAAAGTGTATTTGATTGTTTTAGTCGCGGCGGAGCTGCCAATATCTCAAATCTAGTAATAAAAATAGTAAGAACTAGTTAATATAGCAGAACCTGCTTCACATAGTAATATGTATTACTACTGGCAATCCTGCCACGTGATGGCTTCTTGTTTCGGTGTAGCCACACAACTGTGTGATTACACTAACATGTATACACACTTATGTACGGTCGCACATCTTGTGCGAATTGCCTTTTCTCACAAAGGCACGTGTAACCCCCGTTACAGTGACTCTTCGAGTTTTGACTTGATACACCCACTTCCAGCCCTTGCTGCTCACCGAGGAGGAAACTTTCACTGCGGTCATCCCCCCAGAAAGGTTTACGTAACGCGTAGCTATGTTCCAGTGCTTAGTAGTGTTGAACCAACTACCCATGGAGCTCACAACGATGTCCAATTCGTCACGAACGAGCAGAACCTAGCTTAAAAAGTCCAGCTTGCTCAGCTGCAAGTGCAAAAGTTAAAACAACCATTAATGTAATATGGGGTCAAATCTGTTTGGATATCCAGTACATTTTTATGCGATTTCACTAATTATGAACATTTTGCTACAGCAACGCGGTCTTTCCGCGCAAATGCTTCGGTGACTATGATCCACCAAGCCATTGACGCGTTTTGTCCGACCATCGAATTACGCATGTTAAGCGGTTGACACCCTTTATTAAACCTCGTCAGATCTCAGTTGTAGACCGCAGGCTTCCTTCGATATTATGGCAACTAGCAAGCCATGTTGGCCAAAACTGTAGCTTTGTTGTATTCGTGCCGGTAGCATCATCGCTGACAGCAACGAAATGGACCATTTTGCTCAGACAGGCTGAGCAAAAAAAGTTAACTTCTGGACCGTAAATACACTACACACCGTTGCAGGCAGACAGGCCAAAATTGCTGTCGAAATTAGCGAGAAATGTCACCCGTTGCCGCATACAACATTTGAGCACTAATGCTCTTACCCGTTTAGCTGGGTGTCCAATACGTGGTTCTGACCGAGCTTTCTAATCTTGTGCCTTAAACAGAACCGTGAATTTGATATCATCGTTATGAGGCACTACTACACACTGAATGTCACGTGGGTTAGCACTGTGATACGACAAGCCTCAGGATAACAAATGTTGGTGCGATGTGCAGTCGCGTGCTCCGATAAGGCGGCAACTGAGTTACCCGATTTTTGCCTTTTAAAACTTTCAGCAGCGTAGCAAATGTTGCATCTGACTCGTATGCTGAGCGCATCACCTTATCAATAGGCAACATCACCACCGTGATATAAGACGATATTTCACCCGCCACCACATTAACCTGGCTTGACTTACACCTTACCTCCACAGTTTACTCGGCAATAAGAGATAGTCGTCGTTCAATCTCGTTGGACCGTTGTGACGACATTGCTGTGCGCAATTACGAATGATATGTAAATAACACAATCGGCTCCGAGTCTTGCAGGTGCATTCTAAACCTGACAAGGGAGTACTTTATTAAGATTAGTTCCTTGTCGTAAATAGGATAGTTATCTGGCGAGACAAAACCGATTCCGTGATCATGGCATCTAACCGGAGTAAAGAATAGTGTATCACAAAATCCAATAGCGTCACAGACGACAAAGAATAACCGATTAGGGTTTGGTATAGCTCGAATTGGTAGCTTTTGCAGGATATTCCACTAAGGTATAGACCGCGTCTTCTGTGTGCGCCACACCACTATCAATTATTTTTTTGTTCGGCGGAGGGGGTGCCATGACTGCAAATTCGGCACAATTTCTGTGCAAGAATTGGTTGGACTGGCCAAAAACTCCCAAGACTGACTGGTCAAGTGACAATGGCCTCGATATTTGCCGGATTTGCTACAGAACCAAGCATTCTATTTCATACTGCTCAATCGGTTTCGTCAACGCGAACGACATGCTTGGTTAAGCGCATAGGCTGATGAATTACTCGCATGTATTTGATGTGTCCGACTTTCCGTGCTCTGCACGATTGAGATGAATATGCCGTTGCAATCGATTGCATGACACGGCCTGACAACTGGATCGCCAAATGGTCGAACGTCACCGATGGGTTTGGAAGTCCATAGGGTACTATTAACCACTCCGAGAACATCCCACTTGGCGCACTCACCCAAGTGAGAGAAGGGTCGCAGTGACGCATCAGCAAACGACAGACTATGCTGTTATTTGCTTAATGAAAATTGGTGTTTGATCAAGTAATATGGTGCATTTAGCTTATAATCAGCACACACAAATTGATACCTATCATGAGAGTTCCAGTGTAAGAGTCAATTATTCTTACTTAACCGAATAATGCTTTGAACGAGAAAAAGATTCAATGACGAGGGGCATTAATGTATAGCTCAAAACTTTAATTCTAACTCACGTTAGTTTGAAAAAGGGCTCCCATTTCCAAATGTAATTCCTGTGATAAGTCTCTTGTCATCACGTCTTGGTGTTCGTTAACAATTAATCATTATAAGATAGATGTCTCACTTCGTGCATTGAGTAACCTCAATGACAGACCCATTCAGATTTGACGTCGAACACCGCTACTTCTCCAATTCTAACGCTCCATTTATGTGACTTAGCCGTCAAAAAATTCCGTGCAGATATCCCCGAATGATAACTACTTTAGATTAATAACAATTTTGGTCAGAAGCGCTGGGGTGAGACTTGTTTTATCGACGACGACACCGATCACTTTGATCACAAGTATATAATTTCTCTTGCCACTTGTCTGTGGAACTTCTCTGCTCCGTGTGCTAGGGACGTCATACGTTAGTATTTATCCGGCAATACTGTTGCATCATGTCAAGCAGTAACGTGCCCTTTTTATTTAAGGTCTCGCCGTTTGACTTCAGCCTTGCCAACGCCCTCCTTAGTCTACATGCTTTGCAGCGAAAACTTGCTACACATAGTCTCTCCTATTCTCTTCCGGTACTGGCATTAAATGCAGACGTTAGTTCAGGAATACTCATTTTAGATCACGCCACATTGTCGTGCTTTTTCGTCTTATCTTAATACCGCAAATAACAGTCGCTTCTGCCTTCCAGGCTCTGTTCGAGCCACCTAGCAATACTAGTGCTTTCAATTTCAGACAATTCCTCAGCCTGCACCAAAGATAATGTTGTGTGGTGCCCACCTTAAAAACGGGTTTGCAATCCGGCATATGTTTTGTCAAAGCTTCACCATTATAGAGGGCTGGCGCGCCTGGCACTACCACTTGGCGAATGACGTGTGGTGTTCCAGCTACGCCATACGTAGCAAAAAATGTATCTTTGTTCTATTCCAGGACTAAACGTAGCCCCGGACTTTCAAATACCTTATCCTTTACCTGAAGGTCCAACTTCACCTTTGACGCTTCTTTAAATATTCCGTTGCCTAACGCAGGAATATTTATCCATATACGGCATTTTTAATGCCTCTGCATACCGTTTACACTTTTATAGTCTCGCGTTGTACATAATTGTAGAAGCACTAAATATATCAGGATTTCTCGTGACTTTACAAAACCCGGAACGTTGAAATCAAAAGTCAACGTCCCGCGGTTATTAAGAATTAACTACTTCACAAAACCTCCTCAAAGGCTTGTTTGCATCGACCACCATCTCTACGATGTGCCAAAAAACTCATTTCGTTTCCAGTAGGCCGTCCAGCGCCTAATGTGCCGATTCGACGCTTTTCCGCGAGAATTTTGTCGTACAACTTTTCGTGGGGTATCGGACTCCACAAATCTCAGTCTTGAGCGAAGGGGGCAGGAATGCACTAATGTTGCGTACTACCACATATCAAACATTTGTCAGTACCACTAGCTGCTCGGCAGCTAACATATCTCTCTCTTACTCGTCAAAGGAACTTGGGATCATTTTCTTCGCAAACTCATAGAGCTCCAACTTCCTGCCTTCTCTCACTTTTGTGATTTCTACCCCACACCCACTGCTTCTGCAGTAGGGGTGGATGAGGCAGAAGTTCATACTATACATTTGAAGACCTTGAACAACGAAGAAAACTGTTACCACTTCCAGAAGAAGGCCAAACGCCATCATAGCGATAATAACTCGCGGCACCTGGACGCAGCTCACTTACTTTTGCCTCCCTTGACGGGCGGACAAGAATGTGCAGCGTACCCGATGACTCGCGTGACTACCCTCGCCATACATCGCTTTAGATCTCTCCATGCTGCGACCGCCTCTTTAATAAGGCACTATACGGCAACCCTAATTGAGCGTGGCCTCCTAGTTTGAAGAGCGCTAGCACGATTTGCTGTTGCTCTGTTCGGAGCATGGCCGAATATAAGTCCATCGCAACTGCTCCTATTCAAAGTGAGGAAGTTTTGATCCAACTTTCGAAGTGCTTGAAGCTCGGCATCCTCGGCCTTCTGCTTTGTACCATCTAATCTTCCACCGGCACCTGGTTGTTGCGCTCCTGGGGCTATCTCACCAGCACATTCCTCATTGTTGGTAAACGCGATTAAGAACATATAGACCACAACCTTCCATTGACCGCCAGTCCCTGACCCCGACGTGGCCAACGTTAGTTAGACCTACTTCAACGATTCCGTGGACAAGTACACGAGCATCCCAAATCTCACCCTGAGAGAAGATACAGTCATCTCAAGATTGGTTGGGAAAGTGACTACAAGTGCTACCAAATGCAATGAGGTTGCCATGAACTTTGCAAAAAGGATGCTTCAACCCGAAGCATTCGCATTACCAACAGCACAGATATTGTACTTATATGCCCCAGCCGTATTCGGACCCGAGAGCCATTAAAAAACCTAATTTTCCATCTTGCTCTTCTATCTCAAGTGTTCACATTGAGATTTAATTCCCTTTATAATAATACGCTATGCTCTTCAATATTGACGTGAGGTTTTCAGCTCACATGTCCCACAGCGGAGAAAATCTCGTTTATCTTCATAAATGCCGTGAATATGAATAATCATAATAACACAATAGTGCAATGTAAATTTCGTGCATTTGTACGGCATTCATCATTTATCACAACTTTACTAAACGGGCACATTCAATACAGTAATTCACATGATGACAATCTTAATCTTAACATTTATGCATGAAAATGCCTCCTTCAGCGCAATCGTTTTTCCCTCTGGGTATTGCATTCACTTCGCACAAGGTTTCTACACAATAAGAATCGTTTGGTCTCATACCACATAATAAGGCTTACAGCCCATGCAATGCAATATATCATTGTAATTTTCAGCCCGACAGAGTTTTATGAGCTTTATGATCACAATATCTCTCCAGACAACCTTGCCAAGTTTTAATGAAGCTAAAAAAAGTTCGATTTCAATATTGACGCTATGTGTTACAGGACCCATTTATTTGTTAATAAAGTATACAAAGATGCAGAGAGGCTATCCAGGATACAGCACCATCCTATTCTGACAGTACCTGTCAAAAGCTATTTAATATATGCTATGCTTATTATTCCTCGTCATGGCTCTCGTCGAGCAGACCGATGCAGATAAGGACCATCATCATCCGGTCCACACCAGGAGCCACTTCTACTGTGATGCTTTGATTCTCCTCAGCCTTTGAAAAGGATAGCCGGGCGATGGTCTGCTGTTCGTCAGCCGTGTCACCAGAGCCGCGCACAAGCCAAAAGGTGAGCTCCTCGCTGCTATTTGGAGGTCGGTCACAACCAATAGTGCAGTGTTGGCCACCGACGAGATCAGTGAACTCAGAGCGCACAATTGTGTCATCAGCCGTAAATTTAAATACACAAGGCGTCTACAAAATCAAAAACAAGGAACAGAGGTTTAAAATGTCACGTATTACAACGTGAAGTAAAGAAGGATATACCTCCTCGTATTCCGTCCTTGGATAGGCACTGTAAGTCGGAGTTTTATTAAACATACTCAGGCGCAGCATGGCCACGGGTAACCCATTTCGTGCATCCAGCAGCGTGCGTTGGCGGTGTAGCGAGTAGTGCTTCTTTTGGATAAGAAAAATCTTCTCGCCTGTAGCTTCGTCCACTACTACATCCGATGTGATACGAAGCTGCACAGACTTAGAAATTACTTGGCTGGCGTCAAACGCAGCCACGAAGTGGCGCAGCGCTACTAGAGTTTGTACTTTTGAAGCGACCTCATGCATATCCATTTTGTAAGTACTGTAGCTGTATAGTAAGTAACGACTGTAATGGCCGACGTAAATATTACAGTACGTCAAAGTGAAGAGGACATTTAGCCAGTCTCATTTATTTTATAATTTATACATACACATGTACATATCTACACGAATAATCATATTAGGCAAAACTCGTTGCCCGCCACCTGTAAATGGGTTCACAGTCGTGCAGGGCAATACACACAAGCAGAGCCATCACAGCATCGACTCCCTCAGCAATGTCTATCGAATATCCTAACGGCGTTCCTGAAGGTGCCAGGTACATGTGAGCAATAGGCTGCTTGACAATCTCTGCAGAGAGACCACGTTGCAACCAGATTTCAATGTCGCCTTGATCGCCGCTTGAGCCGAGGCGACAAGTTTTACCCGTCATAATATCAGTAAATATCATTTCGAGCTTGTTGCGCGATATCGTAAATTTGATCAGTCTCTTAGATAACTCAATGCGCGAGTATAATGAGTAGGTTACTTTACGACGTCGAAACGTGCTCATTCGAATTGTGGCCACGGGCACCTTAGTCGTGTCTAAGAGCATACGCTGACGGTGTAGCGAAAGCGGCTTCTCGACTAGCTCGAAGAGCAGAAGACCTGTCGAGTTCTCTCGTGCGCCCTCGACAACGAGCTGGCCCATCCGCCACTCCACACCAAGATGCAGTTGTGTGAGCTCATGGCAGCAATATCCAGCATCCACCGCTGCTAGCCCTAGATGCTGCGCTTGTAATTGTCTACGTTTGACGGCAGGTGGCGTCACAGGGAGTGGGACCGCCGCCGAGCAGGGCACGAAATGCTCCGAGAAAGATGCGACTTTCGAGGAGCTAGACTTGTTATTTTCTGTGTAGCGTCGGATCATCGAATCACAGCAGGGTGAGCAGCTGTGAAATCGAAACTGGCGGACCTACAGGTAACTATTATGGTGTCCCATCGCGAAGGGCATCATAGTACAGAATCCCAAGAGCGCGGCATTATTAACAGGCTGAATTTAGCACAATCGATTTGGAGTATATGTAGATAAATTTCATTCTTACTAAAACGGGTATAATTATCGTAATTTCTACAAAAATAATGAGATTTATGCGACTTTGCGTTAATTATAATCAATGCTCACACCCTGTTCACCGAATTATTAAGTGAATTGAGTAACTGTATATAGACTTTCTGAGACTAAGTTTTGTGTCACAACACATGTCTGAATTTTTAAGCTACAGTACCACAGGTGAATGTGTGGTAATTTGTCCTCTACCTGTCGTGGAATAGATTTTAAATAAAAATCATAAAAGAGGCAGAGGTGGGTTGTGGGTTGGCTTGCTAAATCGAGAAATATCCGAATCTATGTGAATATTTCCAGCTGTCAGTGATCTACTCATGGCGTCAGAGTATGTCAAATAGGAGTAGACAACGAAGAGATCCAGCATCTGCTTAGAGGAAGTAGAACTTTTTTTCAACGCACCTACCCACAATTATCGGGCATTTAATGCAGTCATTACGTAAATCATCTTGGCCCGTAGATACGATTTGCCTAAAAGTGACCTCTGAAATGTTTAAGTACACATCGGGACACAAAGTACGAATGCCGAGTGCAATGGGGTTCGTTCACAAAGAAAACCTTTGAATCGTAGAGCAAACGCACAAAGTTTGGGCTCAAAGTCTGTTCATAGTGTCTGAAATAAGTATTTAGTAATATTATGCTTTAAAATAGAAGCTACCATAAATTAATAGCTAATACTCCAGATATGTTTAGGGAAAATTGCATCAAAGTTTGCGCAAATAGCTAGAGTCAAATTCCACAAACGACAGTCATATTTACGCATCACTTACCATATGGGTACGGAAGTAAAAAATGCAGGAGTTTGAGAGCTGCGATCACAATTCCACGGTATGGGGGACTAAATTATCTCGCAGTTTCCACAGAAGTGGTGACTCAAATAGCCCGCATTAACAAACACACAGAGGTTGGGTCGTGGAGTGGCACCGAAAGCCTATAACGTAATTACATATTAACTTAGCTGGTCTATTTCAAGAGTACACACCTCGAGGATTATTTCTATTTATACTAATACTTAATAATATATGCTTTTTATTATAATTTCCAAAATACTTTCATATTTGCAGCGGGGCTACCGTAGCTCTTTCGCTTATAGAAAGATTAGGTAAGGTCGGCGACTTTCGTTCTATCCTCAGAACCAGTACGAGTGTAGCGGATTGCAATCCGCTAGTAAGTGCAGCCTTAACCCAAGGCTGATTAGCTCTCCCGTTTAAATGTAAAACTGTATATCTCGGTTTAATTTGCGATAAAGCCGCCTATATGTAAATCTGAAGATTTTTTGATCTGTATAGTAAAACCTAATCGAATGCATAACTACTGGCTGTTCCAGCCCATACTGACTTGTTGTTTAACTGTAGCCAAACCATTTTGTGGATACACCTTCTTGTGTGGCCCACATCATTGTGTGACTACACAAACTTGTAAAACTTACTTTATTGTGTGATCACACCATCTTGGGTGAACACGTTACACTTCCCCCATCGAGATTGTGAACACCCCTACAGCTCATATTCGCCTCAAACGAGGCTCGCGTGTCTAAGACACCGCAAAATCACCGGGACCTCAATCCTTTTTTTTCTCGATGGGCCCTGTGTCGAGGACACGAAAGACGGCCAGCTTTGCTGGTTCCGAGAACGCTCGCGGGTAGAGCCCTTCTTCGTCTCCTGCACGCGGTGCAACTCTGGACAGTACGTCCGCGGTACTAAGGAAAGCGCAGCCAAAGCTCTCGGTAACCGGTAACCCCGCACCGCGCACCGCGTTCGCCACGAGCGATGGATTACCTTGTCGAGAATTTGGAGAAAGTCGACTACGAGCCGGATACTATGGGAAGAAGAAGTGGGCGAGGTGCCTCAGCGGCGCGACAGGATCACTGCTCGAGCCTTGCGGACGCCGTTTCCCGAACTAACACTTGCTGAGGAAGTGGTATGATTGACAATCACCTCGACGAGGCACAGAAGAAGCAGCTAGATGCTGACCACAGGACGACTCTCTTGCGCTCTCATCCACTGTCGGTCCTTGCTAATCGTGTGGAATACGGCATCCGCTTGGCAGATCCCGCTACAGAAGCGAAGGGCGCGATCACTCGATCGTTGGGCGTATACGTGGTCGGCCCCACGACCACTACACAATCTGAGCTTGACGAATGAAAAGCTCTACGAGCTCGCCTCTTGACACCTCAAGAAATCCCAATGTATAGGTACCACACTGGGCTTCCTGCACAAAGAGGAGGCCCTCCTGTACCCGCGATATGAACGATTCATTTGTTGCTCGGCCCTGGCGAAATCGCTGCAGATGACGGAGAGCTCTTTGAGCGATGGGTGTGGCGGTACCGGAAACTGTCCTCGCTGCATAACTTACGGTTGAGCCACATGGAGGTGGACGCGCGTGGGTACGCCGTCTTTGGTTCGAGCTTGCCAAACTCAAGACGTGTCATCGCCTTCCTTCAGATTGTCACCCTGCGACGTATGGGCTGATCTATCATGCTCCCGCGAGCTCTGGGGTCTCTCACACGGGTGAGTAGCGACCGCAGCAGCTCAGGGCCGTAGCTCGGGCTCAGCTCAGGGCCCTTCAGCTTCCCTGGCTATTGCTGAGAAGCGCGGAGCGTACGACGACGCGAAAAATCATGATCGTTTTAATCATTAGCGTCCACGACGTCTTGGCAGTCTTGC